AATATTTAGCTTGGTTGTTAAATATTTAAGCTGATTATTTATCTTGGTTACTAAATATTTTTGCTTTAAACTAAATATTTAGCTTGGTTGTTAAATATTTAAGCTGATTATTTATCTTGGTTACTAAATATTTTTGCTTTAAACTAAATATTTAGCTTATTAACTAATATCTAGTTTGGAACTAAATATTTAATTTTGAAACTAAATATTTAGGATGGCACTAAAAATGAAGTTTATGGACCAAATATTTAGCTTCAAACCATATATTTAGCTAGCTAATTAAATACTTTGCTTATGAATATATGGTTTGTAAAGTAGGTGTTTATTTTAAAATTGACATTTACGTTTTAAAAACATGAAGCCCCACTTTTTTTCCTCAGTTTTTGACTACAATCGGCCGCCATTCAACGGAAGCCTAAAAGTGTGAAAACCAGTCAGGTTTTTCCGTCATTTCGGTTCCGGTATCTGTTCTGTGGAGCAGCAGAGTCGGTTCGGTCCGTCACCATCTGGAAAACGTTTCTTCCTGCGCCGCTGACGGCCGCCATGTTTGTCCACATCCACCTTATATGTAGGTCAGGTACGCTACAGTAGCTGGTTGCCATGGGAACTCGGCAACACAGGCTTCTTCTGGCCGAGTTCCCGCTCTCTCTCTCTCTCTCTCTCTCTCTCTCTCTCTCTCACCTCATGGCGGTTAACTCTTTCCGGTCAGGATGTAAATATAAACACGGAAACACGTGCGGGTTTTACGGTGGAAGCGCCACTCAATAATCCAACGCGCATCTGGTCCGCTAACCCAGATGTGCTGGAAGGAACTAAATCCTAATCCCGAAATATCAGATCTGCCCATGAATGCTGGACCTTTTACCCGATTCTTATGGTCATAAACAAACGTGGTGATGAGATGCAGGCAGCGGGAGATGCGCGTTTAATCCTGATAAGAATACCCGGATGATTTTGGAGGGTCAGAAAGCTTCCTCTGTTTCTGAAGGAGCAAAAAAGGGAAGGGAAACAGAATCCAGATTCCCCAACATGATCCATCAACGTCAAACACTCAGAGGTGGGAGAGTGCCCCGAGAGCCAGAATTCAGAGGGAATTACTCTGAGGGGGGAAAAATAAAATAAATTCTGAGAAAAGCCAGAATTCTGAGGATAAATCAGATTTATGGGGGGAAATCTATTCTGAACTAAAAAGAATTCAAAGAAAAGTTAAATTCTGGAAAAGGTCCGAATAATTAGGAAAAGGGATTATTCCGAGAAAAAGGTCCAATTTTTAGAAAATTTGAGAATTCAAAAAAAAGTCACATTTTGACTTTAACATCAAAATTCTGAAAAGACATTGAGAAAAGACAGAATTCCAAGAAAAAGTTATTATTCTGAGGAAAGAAGTAGACTCTGAAAAAGTCAGAATTTTCAGGAAAAAAAGTAAAAATTCTGGGAAAAAATCGTTCGAATTCTTAAAAAAAAAAGTCAGAATTCCAAGGAAAAGTCATTATTCAGAGAAAATTCAAATTTCTGAGAAAAGTAAGAATTCTGAGAATAATTGTTTTCCCCAATGGCCCTAACCCTCTGTCATAGCTGCCCCTTCCCCTTGTCCTCATATGTGCAGTTAAATAATTCCTCACATTGGTGAAATATTCCACCATGGTGAATCGCTACGTGGTGAATCGCTCTGCGGTGAATCGCTGCCCTTTCTGTTCGTGTCACTAATCGTCTTGAAGCCTGCGAGAAGCGTGGCGTACCAGTGCGTTCCGATGATGCGGCGCCGCCTGCATCCTTCCCACCAGCCCGTTCCTTCCTGCCGGGGATGTGAACACAGGCCTCCTTTGTCCTCAGTGTCCCAGTTTTTACATCTGCCCAGGCTAATGAGGTGAAAAATTAGCTAGAGGCCCACCAGGGAAGCTTTTAGGGTCAGAAGCATGCTAAGCTGTTTACTGTGACACAGCCGCAGATTACATGCTCTGGATTATCATGCAGCCTGAGATGGTCACCTATGTGAGGACTTTTCATGTTTGTTTGATTTGATCTTAGTTTTGTTTGGTTCATTTCTCTTCTGTGCACAGAAGTTTGTTTAATTTTAGGTATTCTCAGTGTATTTCTCTTGTTTTTTCCACCTGATAGTTCGGTAGACTTGGTTCTCTTGGGACCAGAGTTGCAGCATCTGCTCCATTTCCAGCTGCTGTGGCTCTGAGTTACACCAACCTGTTCCCCTCCTCGCCTGTGGGGGCGCTGCATCAAGAATCATTGAAGAAAACGACATGAAAACCTCTGAAGACACTTTGCAACTTCCTTCTTCACCAAATGGAAACAAAAATGAAGTGGCGTCAGATTTCAGCAGTTGGAGGATTTCTCTTTAGCTTTTGGCTAAACACCACAAGCTAATGCATTTGTTTTGGTTGTATTTACCCAGAATGCACTGCACTGTTGTCTGCTTCCTTGCTTTTGGAGTGGTCTCTGGTCCGCTTGGTGTTCATATCTGCATTTGAACTGAACCAGAGTTCACTTCCAATCTGGTGCCTACAAACCTCGGACTCAAACCGGGATCAGAAGGACCGGTTCGGTTTGTTTGGGGAGGTGTGAATGTTAATTAAAAAACAGACCAAAAAACCACAAACTCCCGTCTCCGTTTGGTTGAACTGAACTCTGGTGCGGTTCAAATGCATATGTGAACACCAAGTGGACCAGAGATCGATTCAGGTGCGGCTATCTGCTAGGAAGTGCTAACCCAGACCAAAAAGTATCGTCGCTAACAGTGTTAACCAGCCATCTTTGTAAACAGTTAAATCACAAGCCATCATGTTAGCTTGTTTCCAGATATCTCATCTTTAACGGTTCATTAAACTTTGAATCCAGACATTTTTGTCGCCACATTAGCCAACATGATCTTGACTTCTTGTGTTTTGCTTAAATTCTCCAGTTTGCTGTAACCTGTTATCGACCCAGCATGCATTGCACAAGTAAAAAATATAATAAAGATATACAATTTTTTAAATTATGAGTTTTTAGACGTCACAAACAACAACTTTTAGGTTAATATGAAAATTACAACAAATTTAGGCAAACATAATCCCTTAAAAAACAATTAATCCTACAGTTTAACACAATAACTCAGGAGAAGAATGGGCATTTTTCAGTTTCTAGATGTGCAACACCGGTTCCTCAAAGTCATCCAGCTGCGATATCACAGCAATCTGAGTCGAAAGAACTAATGAATATGCATGCCACAAGTTTTTATTTGCACAGTCTGTACTCTGCTGTCCTTATCTTGACTCCAGATTGTCATGTCACCACTTGTTTTCTTGTTCTCATTAATTTCCCTCCATTCACTTCCCTAATTAACCCTCCCAGTAATTATATACTCTTTGATTCCCTCCTTGTTATGCAGCTGATGTCCTGGTAGTTCAGTCTGGTTTCCAGTTTGTTTAGTGTCTTCGTCTCCAAGGTTTCCCACTCTGTTGTTTTTTTTTTCTTCTGTCGTCCGCATGCTTCCTGCCTCTTAAAGAGCTTCAGTCCCTCTTTGCATTTCAGACATAAAACTGGTGGCAGTCCTGAACACTAAAAAGTATTTAAATGGCCTTTTCCCACACAAACTAAACATTTTCAGAAAGATGTTTGAAAGGAACTGAATAAATTTCACATTCTGAGGAAAATTATACTCTAAACCAGGGATGTACAAAGAAAATAAAAAAGAAAACTAAAACCAGGCAAATAAAGTCATCCAAATTATTTTAACCCAGAAAAGGATTATTTTAGTTTATCAGTAATATCAGAAATTGTGGAGTACGCACTATTTACGAACTCGGAATCCAGAAATACTTAACGGGAACAGTCACTGCTTAGTTTATATTACTTTTAACCCAAAAAAGGAATTAGACCAGTTACTCTTTAGCTTATTTTATCAGAAACTGTAGAGTACTCACGATTTAGAAATGGAATTAGATTCTTAGCAACCCTGAACAGGAGCCGTTAGTTTACATACTTTAGAACAACATTAGTTTTCTTTCCTCATTTTTCTTTCCTTTGGTTTGTTATTTTGTTTGTATTTCCTTTCAACTCATGTAAAGCACTTTGAATTGCCTTGTTGCTGAAAATGTGCTATATAAATAAAATTACCTTACCTTTGTTTTATTGTAGGAAGGGGATGTTGTTGCAACATTTGCTATATTAAAATAAAGCCATCTAGTTTTAACTATTACTAATGTCTACTGTCCATTTAGTAAAAAAAAAATATACACACATATCCAATAAATACATAAAAATAAATACCTAAAAAAAGAAAAATACCAATTTTATGTAGTTATTCATTTATTGGGCTTTACATTTTAATTGATAAAATTGATTCTCTGGGGGCCCAGTGGGGTGGGCAGCTTTGTTCCAGGGGGGCTGTGGCCCTCTCATCCGCTCCAATTGGGGTCGCCACTGTGAATTAGCCCAACATCCCCTCTCTGATGAAAACATCCAGCAAAGACCTTCAGACTCATCTGACGGCTGAGTCAGAAACGATGCTGGCTTCCCTCTCTGCCCGGAAAATGACTCAGCGTTCGGGTCCAATCATTGTCACCGCCGTGACGGACCGCGAACGTGAAGATGTCATGGCGGCACATCCGTCCAACACCAGACTTTGAGGTTCGGCTTCCCTTGACTAACATGTAATTTATCTGAAATAGTCCAGATTGGTTTTTTAAATGAGCAACTTGTGAAAATAAAAGTGTTTAACACTCAGACATCAAACCGTGACTCATCAAAACAAGGCGGGCAAAGATTTAGATAATCTCTGTCAACAGAAAAACAAAATGACAGAAATACAATTTCCCGCTCTGAGCTGTTTATGTTGTGTGAAAGCAAAAATATTCACGTCATTAACATTTTGTCTGACCTTTTTCTGTGTCAAAATAAACAAAGCACTGTCAAACACACAGCGGATTTCGGTCCGGAATAAAAATCACCAGCAAACAGCTTCACTCCGGGGAAACGGAGCTCTTCTTCCCCGGCGGAAAGGAGTAAATCAATCAAACCCTGTACTCTGAGCGCCATCTGGTGGCGAGCAAAGATGGCTGCAATCGAACCCTTAGAAACATGTTCCAGAAAATAATCTCTTTCCTTATCCTTCTTTCTTCCTTTCTCTTTTTTCTTTCTTTCCTAATTTCTTTCTTTCCTTCTTAAACTATGTTTTATGTGACTCTTATGGAAAAGTCTGATGTTAAAATGTCTATTTATCGAAAAATAAATGTGTTTAAATAAAAATCATATCTCTGTTATTCTAAAAAATATATAGAAATATTATTATTATTATTATTATTATTATTATTATTATTACTTAAAACCATAAGTAATACATTATTTATTATTAATCAATCAATCAATCAAATTTTATTTGTATAGCATATTTCAGCAGCAAGCCATTTCAAAGTGCTTTACATCATATCAAACACAAAAACACTTACTTTATTACTAAATTAAATGATAATTTAGCCATAAATTATTATTTTTGGTTTCAAATGACATGCAAACACCGCAGCTGTCCAACTAGAATAAATCTCATAAATATATATTTTTTATTTAATATATTATTATTATTGTTGTCATTATTAATGAAAAAACAGAATTTTGTTCCCCTCCTGGCCTGTGGGGGCGCTGTACCAAGAAACACTGACGGAATCGACAAAAACCTCTGAAGACACTGAGAGCAACTTCCTCCGTCCTACGAAATGTAAACAAAAACGGGCTATCATCGGAGGTCAAGATGGAGGATTTCTCGAGCCTGTTCTCCAGCTAGTGTTCGGCTAGTGCGTTTGTTTTGGTTGTATTTACCCAGAATGCCTTGCATGGTAGTCCACTTCCTGCTTTTGGAGAGGCCTCCGGTCCGCTTGGTGTTCACATTATTCATTCAAACCAAACCGAGACCGAGACGATACATAACGTGACATCAGTAATGCTGAGGCAGCAGCATGGAGACAGTGCCCTCTGCAGGTGGGAGTTAGCATCACATAAACCCAATGTTTTTTTTGTTTTTTTTTGTCTGTTTCTTTTTTAATCGTTTTTGCAGAAAATTTGCAATAAACTTACACTTTTATTGCATTGATCTGCTGATCTGTTGAAAAACTGGAGATACATTGCAGTCAGGCATTGCGGTGGCCACCTATATCCTCTAGGATTTGTTTACTATTGAGTTATTCTCAGGATTATTTTCTGTTGGAAGATCCAAACAGATCAGCTCAAATTTCTCACAGATTATTTGTGTTTTATTAAATAAATCGTATATACTGAAAATAGACTAACAATAAAATATGATAGTAGTGGTTTGATTTAGGTTGCAAAAATAACTTTTTACAATAAAAACATAGAGTTAAATACAATTCACTAGTAGAACAAGAGTACATTTTGTGCAAATCTGCAAGTAGAATCCACAATTAAGTTTTAATACCAAATAAAATTATATTTTTCAAGTGAAGATTGCAATTTGTGTGTAAAAACTTGATTTTTCTAAGTAAATAGCACTCCAATTATTTTGAATGCAATTTCCTGATATTTTTATGAATTCATATTTTTATCCGCAAGCAGAGGAAGCAAAGCATCACTGAGCCACCGCCATGCTTCACGATACACCGAAAAAAGGAAACAGGTGATTAAACTTAAAAAAAATGTTACAAGTAATGAAGTTAAGTTTACACAATCAAATATATTAAGTTTAATAAGTTGTCAAACATGAATAAGTTAAATTTGACAAACGTAATTCGACTCCATGTAACAAATTAAGTAAAAAAAAAAAAAATTAAGTTGGAGCTCCATTTTCTGTTTAATGTGCTGCCTGTTTTATTTCACCTTCATTAAAAAACAACTGATGCGCTGATTGATAAAGTTTCCTTTTTATAACAGAAACCCAGAACCTATAATCTGGTTGCTGGCAGTTTCTTCTTTCTGCCACCAGGGGGCGCAGCCACGTTTCTACCATCCTGAATCTAAACGTATTTCTGGATGCATTCAGAGCTTCTCTTGTCTTTTTCTGTCATTTACTGTGTTCAAGGCATTAATGCCTTTAACACTAGTATTTGTATTTTTACCATTTAAACTTGTTTTATGAGGCTTTTTTTGTCAAACGGAACAGTTTTCAACAGTTGACAGCTCAGAGAATATTTTCCACCTGATGCATTCTTCTTGTTCTTTTGCAGATTAACTTCTTCCAGAGCTAGAAAGCAAATAATAATATACCACTAAGTCCTTTAACTTTAACTAGAAAATTATGACGATTTTTGATTAAATATGTTTTCTATTTTCTGTTAAGTTTTTATAAGGGGCATGAGAGTAAAAGGGAACTGAATCCAAATGAGCTCTGAACGTTTTGTAACTTAAAAAGTTGTGAATAATGTGTCACCTTCCTTTAAATAGAAGAATAAAAGCACATTATCATTGAAGTGACAATGAATTAGCAGTTAAATGTGATGAAAAGCAACATGTCTGTAATATTCTGTTTGGTTTTTAATAAATTTAATCTATAATTCTAAAATCTTGTACTCAGAAACTGGACTCAGATCAGCCGATATGAAGATCTCTGATCAGTTTCTTACATAAGGAGTCCCACATGGCTGTGCTTTGGTTACCCTGTTATTTATCATTTCATGGTGTGAATATTTCATGTTTCTCTTCAGAAAACCTCTGAAGAAAATAACACAAATGTAGGCTCAACTGTTGCATACACTTTGTAAATTAGTCTCAAAACTTTTTACTGAAAAAGTTTCATTTTTGAAATACTTTTTTTTCCTTTTCAAATTAAAAATTTGAACTGTCATTTTTGCTTGCAAAAATATTGGAACAATTTTCTCTCCACAGACTTTCAACTTTAAATATATATTTTTGGGGAATGTATGGTACCAATCAGGGATCGATTGAATAAAACTCATTTAGGCAAAAATTTCTGAAAAAAATCTAAAAAAAAATTAGACATTAATTTTACATATTTTCTAGAAAAAAGTTGGAAATTTTCAGTTTCAGAAGTAAAAATGTTCTACTTCATTGAGCTCAGAAATTTCCAAGTTTTTTTTAAATTAATCTAGAAAGTTGTGTTTTTTCTCAATTCTTCAATTTCTTCAATATTTCTACCTCAGTATTTTCTTGTTTTTTTCCTAAAAAAATTCTGAGATTAATCTTAGAATTTCTGAGTCTTTTGTTGCAAATTTTCAACTTTTTAATGTCAGAGAATTTTCAAGTTTTTTAAAGGAAGATTTCTGAAATTAATCTCAAAATGTCAGATTTTTTCTTCCAAATGTTTTACTTTTGGAGCTTGTTAGTTTGCAACCAAAGACCAGACTGGGGCCAGCAGTTTTAAAGCTCTCAACTTTTTCTTTATCTCCAGCTTCACACGCTTCCGTTCATTTTACAGCATTTCATGCAGTCAAACAAGAGGAGGGAGAATCTGCCGCTCATCTGAACCACCTGGCTTTTAAGGGATTGGCTCCCACCAGGACTAATTAAAGGGGTGGAGACAATCACATTTCCAGGAAGAAAGAACATTTATACTAAACTATTCCTTAAAAAATGTTTACAGTTGCAATTAACTCAAACAAAGCTAAAAAAAAATAAAAAATAACAATTTGGATCCAAATAAAATCAAAAGTCCATCTCTCCTCCCTCTCAGAAAATGGATTTTCCCAGTGAGGCTGATTGAAAACTCCAGGTCCTTGTCAGCGCTGCTCATGGGTGCGTTTCCATGGCAACACATGACCCGGTGACCTCAAAGAGATGAGAAGATGATTTAAACAAGTAAATAAATCAAGTTACTTCCTCAAACACAATACATTTACCCAAATAAATTAGAATATATAAAGTACACACAGAAACAGCTCCTGTTAGGGAGGGGGTGAATCCCTCACACAGAATTTCCTTTGTTTTTCCAAAAATATTTCTGAGATTTTTTTTCTCACAAATGTACAACTCTTAGAACTCAGAAATTTCAAAATCTTTTGGAAAATGTCTGAAATTTTACTGGTAAATTTACAACATTTTGAGCTAAGAGAATTTCCTTGATTTTTTTTGTTTTGTTTTGTTTTCTAGAAAAGAAAAAACAGAAATTGAGTTGTCTTTTTTGCTGTTATCTGCCTCTGGCCCTGATACGCCGTTGTAAAAAATCCCAAACGGATCAGTGAATAAAAATGGTAATCCTATTTTATTGTCATTCTGTTATGGAAATTCAACGCATTCATTTTCTGAAAACCTGAAAAAAAAATCAGCAAAATTCTTCAAATTCTGCTACTTGCTATAATATTGGACCAAATGTCTCTCCATAAGATGTGAAGACGTGAAAAAGTTGCGTGAGTGTGAATACTGATGCACGCACTGTAAGGATGTGAATCAAGTCTCTTCACAGTGATGTGTCACGCATGATGGGCGGGACTTTTCCTCGCAGTGGGGTCAGGGGCCCCTTCAGGTCCAAGGCGTCTGGGGATGAACTCGCAGACACATTTTCACGTCCCAGATTCAATCTGCAAACTTTATCCTGCGGTTTTTGTTTCTTTTTTTCCTCGTGGCTTTTTTTGTTTGTTTTGTTTTTGTTTTTTTGGTGTCGGTTTGTGGGAATCTGAGCCCCAGGGAAACAGAAAAAGCTCTCCCTTGTGTCTGTCACTGTGACCGCCCACAGCACGGAGCTGAACGGGGGGAGAGAGAAAGTGGAGCTTTGTGAATGACGGGAGCGGCGGAGAGCAGAAAACAAACTTTACCACTTTATTCCCTCCAGCCTGCCTCCATTTTCCCTCCCAGACAATAAAGTTCGGATGTTTAGGAGCCGACACCGAACCGGAGGAGTCCCGGTAAGTCGCAGCGCGGTAACAGAGGCTTGTTTGCAGGGTTTCACAGCAGATTGACAGGGTTTTTTTTCGACGGAAAGATGCATGCATAGCAGCAGCCTGACCGTGACTGGAATAACTGTTGGAGGTGGCAGATCATTCCGAGCCAGAATGGGACCACAGCTTCCCAAATAGCAACGATTTTCCGCCTTTAAACCAATAAAACCTCATGAAGGGACAATAAAAATCCAAATGTAGGATATTTAGTCTCATCTTGTGTAAAAATGAGCTTGCATGCAACTTTTTTTCAGTCTGCGTGAGCATTTCCTTCATTGATCACATTTGAAGCTTTTCCATATTTCAGGCAAAGTTTCCATTTTCCTGCCAATGTGTTTCGCAACGTTTCGTGACTCATGGATCAGATGCGGATTTCCACTGTCAATGGGAACAAAAAACACACAAAGAGTCGTTCTTTATGTTAATACACATATTTTACCAATATTATGTTCTAGATTTTTATTTAAAAAATACCTTTCAAATGATGCCGAGGTCGTGTGAAAGTTGCAACAACAAATTTGCTGGACGATAAATTGTCCCAGTAATTATTGCGATAAACGATAATGTTGCTTTGAGATCATTTTCAAGTAATGTGCTGATAAATAGGGCTGGAACGATTGAAATAATGTTAATTCATTTAGCAACGATTAATTGACCGGAGAATGCAAACAGTTGCTGAAAGAAGAACACAGCGCTGTAAATAACCACAAACTGTAAAAAACATGCATATATTTAGCTTTTTAGGGCTAATGCAATAAGCAATAAATCATCAGATTACAATTTTTAAAATATATTTATCTTATATATATATATATATATATATATATATATATATATATAAAATACACAAAAAAAAAAAAAAAAAAAAAAAAAACAGGGTCAACTCTAGTATCTGTGTATTGATTCCTTCCAATAACGATGAGAATTGACTCACTTGTTAACTTACAGGGAAAAATAAAAAGATCCTTTTCCAGTTTTCTCATTTCCAGCAGACCCAACGCGGTTCGCCGGTTTCCTGCAATTTCAACAAACAAACTAAACTTGTTTTTTTGTTTTTTTTCCTTGGTTGAACTTGGTGTTTATTTGGTGTCCGGTTCCTTTTATTGTCACCTTTTAAAACAGATAACAGCATTTCTTCAGTTTACTCTTTAAGTTTTAGATGATACTTGTTCTGTTTTCCAGAAGCTGCTGTGCCGTCGAAGTTTTCCAGAAAAGTTGTAGAAGATGTTTGTTACTTTATCGATTTGTTTCTGCCTGCTGGTGATGGTCGGTGCAGACTCTTGCCTCATCATCAGCGAGATCAACGCTGATAACCCCGGACTGGACACCACCGAGTTCGTGGAGCTGTACCACACCAGTGGACAGCGAGCCTCCCTGGATGGCTACACCCTGGTGTTTTATAACGGCAAAGGGAACGTAGCCTACAAGGTTCTGGACCTGAAGGACCACAGCACGGACGACAGAGGATTCTTCCTGGTCGGCTCCTTGGACCTGATGCCCAAGCCGGCCATCCTCCTTCCCCCAAACACGGTCCAGAACGGCCCGGACGCCGTGGTCCTCTACCGCACCGCTGCCGCCCGCTACCTGGAGAAGATGAACGTCACGGCGGTAGGGCTGGTGGACGCCGTGGTCTACATGACGCGGCGCTCCGGAGGAGCCGAGTTCCTGGCGGAGGTTCTGACGCCCGGAGAACCGGCGTTTGTTGAAGACGAAGCGGCGCACGAGGCGGACGAGTCGATCGAAAGGTGCCTGCTGTCGGACGACCAATGGGGCTTCCGGGTGTCGGTGCCGTCTCCAGGTCAGCCGAACAACTGCACCCCGCCGGCCGCGCCGCTGACCAGTCCCTTCATTAACGAGCTGAAGCTGGGCAGCGGACAGGTGGACGGGTCGGTGGAGCTGACAGACGCCTCGGCTGCAGGGCCCGTGGTTCTGGTGGTGTGGGATGGGAAAACGGACAAGGTTAGCGTTAGCATGGACGTGGACACCTCCAGGAATGGACTCAACTTTATGACCGTCAACAAGAAATACATGAAAGGTTAGTTCCACGTACATGTGACGTCACATTCCTGAAACTTTGTAACTGACGGCCATCTTGGTAGGCAGTGACTACGGAGTTGCTATGGCAACAATAAAGAAGCTGCGAGCTTAGTACTAGCTGTCACCTTGTTCCTATCTTATAAACAATATAAGTACATTATAACTATTACTTGATTATAATTTCTAAATACTCCAGCCACCTCTGTAATACTAAGACAAATGTCAGTGATATTTACTTTAGTACTTACTGCCAAGCTAGCAAAATTAGCTTAGCTAATGTAGCTTTTATCTGGGACAGTTTAACAAATAAGTAAAAAAATATTTTTTATAAAAGTTACTGCAGCTTTAACAAAGATAGGTGGCGCTGCTTTCATTTTCACATCCTCAATGACTGGAAATATCTCCAAACAGCTACATTTCCAGTAAGCATATTGGCGATGTGCAGCAGCAGGTTGGGGAGGGGCAGTCATGTTCTGAACCAAAAACGCTCAGATCACTCCAGCATTTTCTCTGGCTTCTTAACTAAATCACTTTAAGCCTCAGAAACAGATGGAAACAGACTTGTTCATCTGTTTCTCTTTGGCTGATTTTGTAATTTCTGTTTCTGCTTCTCTTCAGGCGATGAGTCTGGCGCTGTGGCTATTTACAGCGGCAGAGCTGCAGACTTCCCGGTGGGGAGTCCGCTGAGGCAGACGCAGCCTCTCGATGCGTTCGTGTTCGCCGGGCCTGGAAACAAGCCGAGCTCCAACCTGACGGAGACGCTGATCCCCGGCAGGCTGCCCTACCAGCTCAGCACCAGGTCAGACCGTCAGCAGCTCCCATGAGCCTTTCTGCCTCATAAATGAGTTCAGCTCAAACTTTCCTCTGGTTATTTTTGAGGTGTGGGTTTTTTTATTCAGTTGAGGAACAGTGATGCGGTTGGCGTGTGACTTTAGTTCCTCTTCATTTTATGATGTCAGTGGTGGAAGGAAATGGCCTCCGCTCACTGAAACCTTCTGAAAATACTTTTATCAGTCGATAACTACGACGGCGTGTCAGGGCCTTTGTGGATAGAAAAATTAAAGGAGGACAAAACTTTGAACTTTCTGAGATTGAAAAATAAAAACTCAGCAAGAAAAAAAGTTTTAGGTTAATGTCAGAAATTTTCTAGAAAAACCTTGGACATTTCTGAGTGGAAAATTATATTTGTATTTTACTTTTGAGGCTCAGAAAGTAAGAAAAATGCAAGAAATTTAAAAAAAATAATCTAAGAATTGTTCTTTAAAAACCTGGACAGTTTTTAAATATAGACTTTTTTTTTCTTCCAATTTTTTTTTACTTTTCAAACCCCAAAATTTCCAAGTTTTTCCCAGAATTTTTCTGAGATTAATCTTAAAATTTCAGCGTTCTTTTCTTGTTAATTTTCAACTTTTCAAACTCAAAGATTTCCAATTTTTTTCTAGAATTTGTTTTGGGATTAATGTAAAAATTCAGAGTTTTTTGAACAGATATTCACTCCTCTTTTTAATCTACAATGTCATGTATAACGGCTCTACGTGAACAAAAGGTTTTGTTGGAGTCTAACTTTAGAAACCTAAATATTAGCCACATATATTACTTTTCACCTAATATTTTAAAGTTTAACGAGTAGCTAAGCCCTAAATCATATCTCTTTTGCAGATAAATTGTCTAAATTGGCCGTTATTGAGGCTTTCTGTATGTTTTGTAGCATTTTGTGACATTTTCATGAAAACCTGTTGAATTCTGCAATATTTTGTTTGAAGCAAATCTCCAGAAACAGGAAAAAAAGTTGCCACATTTGTCTCTAGTTGCTTTAAAAAAAAAAGAAAAGAAAAGAAACAATCGGGATCTGAAAATATGAAGTTACTAAGTTGGTAAGTTATTGGCCACGCCCCTCAGTACCTTTTGGCTCCGCCCACTTTGGGAATTTTCTAAATTGGGGCGGGGCTAAGCTTTCACAGTAAAGTAAAAATAAAGTTGCACTTTAGCTGCTTACACTACTTCATTTTGTCTTACTGATGATGTAGTTCAAACCCTGTTTTGGCTTTCATAGCTGTTATTTCCCTGCCAACAGATGAACAAATCCAGACTTGTTTCGTTTCTGATTCCAGTTTGCGAGAGGGCGGCTTCTACCTGAGTCGCTGCGGTGTGGCTACCTGGGCCAGAGATCCCGGCACCTTCTGGGAGGCGCCACAGACTCCCGGGCTGCCCAACAAATGCCCCTGGCCCAAAATCTGCCCCCACACCATCTGTAAGTGTTTGAATGCATCTCACTGCGGTTTTATTTAGACCCCTTCTGTTGTTGCTTTTTAGTCACTGAACACAGACACTAGCATTTATGTTCTTCAGGTTATCAGAAAATAACCTGAGTAAAAGTAAAAATCTTTTCTAAAGGCGAAGTGTCAGAACCAGGCTAAGAAAATATGAGAATAAAGTCATACAACAAAAAGTTCATTTATTAAATAAAACTAAGTTAATCTGGGTTGTAACAGAAACAGCTTGGCATCAGGTTTCAGTCAAAATGCTGAGCATAAATCCTGTTCTTTTTAAATTCCTGTGTCATAAACAGGAAGTGAAACCAAATGATCACTGAGATGTTTGGGTGAAGTTGTTTTCTTACATGTGAAATCGACAGTAAAACAGGAACATTTAGTTTATACTTTCTGGTGACATTGATGTTAATCTTTTTTCAGTAAATGGTTCTCATTTAAACAGATTCATTCACTTAAAGAACTGAAACTGTGTGGTGAATGCTGCAGAGCAAATTAACCACTGAGAGCAATGAAGGAGAGAAAATGCGGAACAAAAACAAGTTGTTTTATGAAATGGAGGAATTTTGGTTTATCTTGTGGGATTATTGTTTTTTTCTCCAACCTCACTGTTATGCTTGCTTTGCTGCTTCAGACATTATTATTAGGAATAATAATCATCAATTACAATCTGTGTTTTAATGAATCTGTATTCATATTTGGCCTTATGTTGCCTTTTGTAATTTGTCTAAATCTAAGGCCGTTCTAACCCTTAAAAAGGCGGGAAAGTTCTCCTCTAAACAGCATTTATGAGTATATTACTTTAAAGAATATCTACATATTTCAGATACATATTTGTAGTCCTGATCCTATTAAAAAGATGGGAAAAGGCCTTTAGTTTAGCACCAGCAGGACACCATGAAGCAGAGAGGCTAACTCTGGAGGCTAACTTTAGCGGCTAACTTTAGCTGTGTTAGCTGCTAACAGTTAGCCAGTCGAGGTTTTCTCGCTGTGCTTTTTTACCTCAGTCTTTACTGTTCCTTTTTTTCTTTGTACCGTAAATGTTGCTGCACCATCAGTGATGGAGGCTTCTTCAATGCTAATGTAGCAAATTGGTTGATCGTTCAGTAGCTAACCAGGAAATGACTCAAAAACTGTCATTTCAAAATAAAAGACTCAGACTAACACAGCAACTTTCTTGCTGTTAAAGCAATAACAATGCTTTAAAAAGTCTTTTATCACCTTCAGTAATGACATTCATGTGTATCAATGGGCAGTTATTGGGTCTCTTGATTTTTGTTCCATCTTGACATTAATAAATTCAAATGTATGATGTTTGAAATCTCTAAATTATAATCTATATTGTTGAAATTGTTATTTACTTCTATTTCATCCAATGTTTGTTCCATCAGAACATCAATTAATATCAGTAAATTGAAAAATATGATTAAATGCATTTACTATGTGCAGTTTAGTGATAAAAATCACATTACTTCATGGAACTGGTGTCCACAAAAAGCCTATTTGAAATGTGTTGAAATAACATTTAAGGACACAGATGACTCAAGTTTTCAGGATTTCTTTTTTCTACAAGAATCACAGTTTTGTAAATTATGCAACAGTTTTTAAAAGACAGTTCTGAAATATTAGCTGGCTCTAAAACTAACAGGAAAATGTAATTTATTTTTTTTAATTCAGGAGAGTTTAGTAATTCTCCTGAACTTTATAAAAAATAAAATGTTAAAACTCATAAAGAGTTTTTTGTTTTTTGACCCTCAAAGGTAATGATGAGCCAACACATTTCTCATGTGACTTCACATGAACTCCAGAACCTCCAGAACTTTGTAACTGGCAGCCATCTTGGCAGGCAGTTGCTATGGAGTTGCTATGACAACAGTAGAGCTAGCTCTCACCTTGTTTTAAAGTATGAACAATACATTACAACTGTTACTCGATTACAGTTTTAGAGTACTCTACCACCTCAGTAACACTAAGATGAACATCAGTGATATTTACTTGAGTACTTTCTGCCAAAGCAGCAAGATTAGCTTGGCTAATGTAGCTTTTACCTGCTAGTGGACATGTAGCCTGTCCACTAGCAGATACTAAATATACTTGATATGCCAGTCACCAGAAACTTATTTACACAAATCAATCAATCAAATTTTATTTGTATAGCACATTTCAGCAGCAAGGCATTTCAAAGTGCTTTACATAATTAAAATAAAAACAGCATGTAATAAACAGTGAGAAAGAGATTTGAAAAAAAGAGTCCTTTAGAAATCTGTTGAAACATTGGTTGTATGGATTTCAGTTGAAGCTCCTCCATGTTGTTCCCACTCTTCCTGTTCACTAGGTAGCTAACGTTAGCGTAGCATGAGATCGGAGGCAGCTTGTTCACATCGCCTGAATTATTTTCCTTCTCCGTCTCATATGGGTTGATCCTGACAGCAGCCATTTTGGTCACGTCTTACGCATTTGTTAAGAGATGTTTTCTCTTTGTTGGTCTGGAAACCAGAGGTCCGCTGCGCATTTCGCTGTGGTTGCCTACCAAGATGGCGTGGGTCATTGTGAATTGCTGGACAGGAACAGACAGGTTTCCTTGGAGTTTGTCTGGTGCAGTCTGCTGATCTGGTGGAAATGCAGAGCCGCCCTGAGCCGTGTTCTCATTGTTCGCCCAGATGCCCCGGGGGGCAGAGCTCCTCCTGAGCCTCTCCTCCGGCTGTGGGAGCGTTTCTCTGGGTGGAAACGGAGCGAACAGGCCGTGATCTGGTAGATTCGGGCCTCCAGCCATCTGCCGGGTGTGTTTATGTCCCTCAGGGCAAACGGGGCAAACTGGTGGGCTTATATAACCGCCTGTTGCTGGTGCTTTACATAACACCAGAAATAAAAGGCGATAATGACTCTCCACCTCTCTAAGGTATTTAATCAGTTTGCTGTTAGCTTAACAGCATGTTTTAACTGGTTTTGTTTACTGGTTTGAAGTTGCTAGATCTTTTCCTGCCGTACTGTTAATGATGAATAAATTCCTGTTAATGATGGTGGATCATTTTCAGCAGCACTAATCCACACGAGACGTCAGTCAGCTGTGTGATGGCCGGAGATAAAGCAGGAAGTACCAGGATGTTCCTTAAGCCAATACTGTTTACACATTTTCAACGAAAAAACAAGAACATTTCTGAGCTCCAAACATCAAAAATATGCAAGAAAAATGATTTTCACCACAACCACAGACATTTTTAGATTAANCTCAGAAATGTTTAATTTTCTTCTAGAAAATTTCTGAAATTAATCTCAAAATTTCTGAGCTGCAGAGTTGCTTGACTCCCGTTTTTATTTCATAAATGTGGTTGACCTTCTATGACCTCCAGAAACTTTAATACCTCAGAAAAAAAAGCAACAAAATATTTTTGCTGCAAAAACGTTGGACACTAATTTGTTTGATTTGGGTAATGTGAATTGGCCGGTTGAATTTTTTCATGAATATCTTCAGAACAGAAGCGGGACAAACGTAGCGCAGTTAAGTCATATTTGATATGTTATGTCCTGGTTGTTTTGAGGTTTGATTCCTCTGGGCTCCTTTCGGGATCGTTTCTGTTTCTGCTTTATTTTAGTTCAGTCCTTCCCATTGTTTCCAGTTACGCTTGTTTCTTGTCTCTAGTTATTCCTTGTTTCATGTTTTCATGTTTCTTAGGTCCAAGTCGCACTTTGTGACAAAAGCAGCAGAAATGAATCTGTTTGCTACACAAACATCAGTTTTGTTTTTGTGAGCCAGCTTCACTCAGGTAAAAGTTCTCGTTGTCGACCAGTGATCCCTGGCGGAACGGATTCGCCGCCTCACCTGCCGCCGGGCAGCAGCGGCGACTTCCTGATCAATGAGCTGAACACGGACACGCCGGGCGCGGCCGAGGACGGGGAGTACATCGAGCTGTGGCACCCGTCGGGCCTGCGGGCCTCGCTGCAGGGCGTCTGGATTCTGCTCTTCAGCGCGCACAACAACAAGCCGTACCGGGAGATCAGCCTGAGCGGCCACTTCACCACCGCCAAGGGTTACTTCCTGCTGGGCAGCGACAGGCTGGCGCCGGCGCCGTCGCTCCGCCTTCCTCCCAACACCATCCAGAACGGGCCGGACGCCGTGGCGCTGTACCGCAGCCTGTCCGGCCCGCCGTCGGCGGTCCAGAGGGGGATCCCGACCCGGGGCCTGCTGGACGCCGTGGTGTACCGGCAGAGGGGGTCGGACATGGAGGCGCAGGAGCTGAGCAAGGCGCTGACCCCGGGGCAGCTGCCGCTGCTGGAGGATCCCGATGTTCTGCCCGGCGATGAGGCACTCAGCCGCTGTGGAGGCCTCTACCCGTTGGACCTGTCGGCCTTCTCGGTGAGAACAGTAAAAACACAAAGCGGACTGAAATCTTTTTTTGATCTTTACATGTTCTAATGTTTTTCCCTCATCAAAATCAAACCTCGACTTGATTCTTTCATTCATGTTTGAGAAATCCTTTAATCTCCATGGCAACCATTCAGCTGTTCAAACCGCCTGGGGGGACGTAGCCCCGCCTTCGAGGCACAGCTCCGCCCCCACTCAGCTCCTTCAGATATTACAATATTACAAGAAAAATTAATATAAGGTGATACAGCAAGAATAAAGCTGTACAACATAAAAGTCATAATGTTATGAGAATAAAGCCAAAACAATACCAGAATAAGGTCTTGAGCTTAACAGACAAAAAGTCAGAATAAGATAAATATTTAACTGTGCCAAAAAATTAGAAGCAGAATAAATCCATAAGGGTCAAATTTATGTGTCTCAGTTTTTGACAGACGTCTTCTCTGTGAAACATGGACCGTTGTTTCTCTCCTCTAACTCACCTGGTTCGATCCGAGCAGGTGGCTCCGCCCACTCCTCTGCGGGAGAACATCTGCCCCCGTCCTCCTCCGGCGCCGGAAGGCGTCGTCATCAGCGAGGTGTCGAGCGCGCGCTGGAGCAACCACAGCCAGCAGGCGGGCTTCGTGGAGCTGCAGGGGCCGCCCCTGACCGACCTGCGGGGCCTGGTGCTCTCCGTGTTCGACCAGGACGTCGGCGGCACCGCCATCGCCCTCCCGTTACGAGGAGTCATCGGCCAGGACGGCTTCTATGTCGTTGGACATGGCCATGACGCAGGTTTATCCTTCACTCTCAATAAATGGTTTATTAGACTAAAATTAGTTAGTTGATCAACTCATGGCGCTTAGACCGAGGAGGTCCAAAGTGGCCCGAGCTCCACTTGTCTGGATGATTTTGTTGAATTTGTGATTAAATTGAAATTTTCACAAACACATAAAATCTTTTTAAACATTTATTTAAGTACAAAACAAAGTATTTTCCTTTTATTAACAGTGTTTCTGTTTTCATTGATTACACTTTGCTATTTCAGCTCAAAAACGATTTACAGATTCAGTTTCTCCATGAATTAGACTACTTTGCGTTATTAAAATACTAATTACTGTACTATTTAATAGATAAAACACAACAAATGTCTTGAGGAATAAATCTTTACAGTGTTAATTTAAAAAAAATTCCCTGGAGGTCTTTCAACTTAATAGTTTTCGTCTTAATGACTAAACGTTTGGACACCGCCAGCTTAGTGGTTCTTTTATTGTCGTAGTTTGGCCGCCATCCAGCAGAGGGCGCCACGTCCTCAAGCGGAGCCAATGGACACAAGATGGACAGAGTCCGGTTTTTTTTTTTTGTTTTTTTTGTTTTTTGAGGAAATTTTACTTTGATTTCCATCTTCAACTTTGTTGTAGTTCAACAACCGGAGAGCTTCATTTATTGGTGTATTTTATATATCTGAGTTTAATAAAGTTAGAAAACCACGGATCCATTTTCTGTCAGTATTTAATACAGCTGACAAAAAATAATGTTAACATTTAATTGTTTTTTTATTATTATTTAGCATATTTTGAACATGTTGCCTTTATATGATGGAAAGACGTTCGTCGCTCTTGTTACAAGAGAAAACCTGTAAGAAAATATCTGCTTATGAGTTAATCAGTAGTTGATAGATTAACTCACTAATGGATAACTTGGGTCTCTAATCCGGTAAATTACTGGTACTTTCTGTCTTTGTGGCGCAGATCAGGCCTTTCCTGAGGGAACCTCGGTGCCGGCGGGAGGAGCCGCGGTCCTCTGCTACGACCTGTTCAGCGTCTGCAGGGCCGGCACGGCGCTGACCAACTCCAGCCTCAGAGACGTGCTGGTGTTCAGCGAGAACCAGCGGCTGCTCGCCTCCCTGTCCACCACCAGGGGGCGACAAGTCCTGCCGTCTCTCAGGTGGCAAATGGTTTTAATGTCTTTATTGGTTAGAAATGAGCACATTTCTGCTTTTATCCAGGATTATACGTGTGGAGAGCAAGACTGCGCCAATAAGCACTAAATCATTAAATGCATGATACATTAAAATGAGCTAAATAATTTCTGTTTGCATGATTTTATCATTTTCTATTGAAAATTGGATGATAAAACTCTTCAATCTGGTGTTTTGGTCTCAAAATGCTCCTTTTTTTGAAGGAAAAATTTGTTTTCAGAGACTTTATAATTAATTTTATTTGTTGCTTTTGTTATTTTGTTTATTTATTTTGGATATTTTAAATGTCCTCCAGCTCCAGTGTTAAATGTCGTTAGAATTTAAAGTTTATTGATCTTTGAGAATGTGTTTTGTATTATTGCCGTTACAATTATATGACTTAAAAATGGTCTCAAAACAATAATAATATTATTGTTTATCGCGATAACGTGATAAAACTAACGTGACCTGCCCGTTGGAGAGCAGGTGGCAGCTTTTTCAGAACCAACCTGGAGAAAAGTCCAGAAATAAACAATGACATGCATCAGTTAACCAAAGTATTAAAACTTTAACATATTATTGCAGTATAGATTTGTACTTAGAGCACATATCAACCAGAAACCAGGTTTTTCCTGGGTAGCTGCAGCTCTACGTTAACCTGGGCTGCAAATAACGATTAATTTAATAACTGATTAATCAATTAATCGGATACGTAAATTGTCGCATTACACAAATTTTTAATTTGAACTTTTGTATGTATTTGAAATACATTAAATTATGCAAATAATTCAATTAATTTTAAATAAGAAAATAGACATTTTATTGCCTGGAATGCAATAACAACTTTCCTTTAGTGAGTATCTGCAGTTAAAAATCTTCAGCTCTTCCTTCTGGACTTGCATCAGTACCGGGTCGGACTGATTATGTTTGGGTTAACTGATCAATAATTGAACAGCAAAAGGTGTTTAATTTGCTTTAATTTGGGATGTTTTTTACAGAATGTGAACCAGGTGAAGCTAAAACTGACGAGAAAATAATTACAGATTAGTTGACAATAATTTCAGTAATCAATTAATCAAGACCAGTCCGATTAATCATTTCAGCTCTAATACGAATTTTAACAAATTATATTGTATTAAGATGCAGCTCTGCCAGGAGGCCTCTGACTGAATGAAAACCTGTGTGTGTGTGTGTGTGTGTGTGTGTGTTTCTGTGTGTGTGCTCCTGTGTGTTCCTGTGTGTGTGTGTGTGTGTGTGTGTGTATGTGTCTGTGTGTGTTTCTGTGTGTGTGCTCCTGTGTGTTCCTGTGTGTGTGTGTGTGTGTTTCTGTGTGTGTGCTCCTGGGTGTTCCTGTGTGTGTGTGTGTGTGTGTGTGTGTGTGTATGTTTCTGTGTGTGTTTGTGTGTGTGTGCTCCTGTGTGTTTGTGTGTGTGTGTGTGTGCGTGTGTGTGTATGTTTCTGTGTGTGTTTGTGTGTGTGTGCTCCTGTGTGTTTGTGTGTGTGTGTGTGTGCGTGTGTGTGTATGT